AGTTCCAGACTCTGCGTCCCATTCTGTGTATACTCGTTTATTTGTTCCTATGGAACAACGTACATTGGCCGCACGATCAGGCAATTGCCCGAACACCAATCGCGCGGCTGAACACCGGAACGATTAAGTCACTCACCAGTGCAGCGGTTTCACACCAAGCTGAAAGAAATCACATTGTGGACGTGTCCGAGGCATTCCGACCCCTGTATAAAGTTCCTGGGCGATTATCGAGACAGTTTTGCTGTTGGATGCTGGCTACAGCAGAAGCGGCGGGNCCCCCCCCCCCCCACACACACACCGCATCACGAGTAATCTCGATGATCGGATGAGTGGACAAACAACAACTATGCGGTCATGGTGTATCCAATTTCCGGTCTCATGATGAAATCGTTTTTAGTAATCTGTGATCTTATTTTATTTTATTTTCATAAGATAATTTTATTTTCAAGTAGTGAAATAATATGATATCATATCATATGATATATGATATATGATATGTATTCACATAAATAAGAATCTGTGTAAATGAGCTTTTTCCTCACTCCGTTGTTCTGTTTGAAATGTGCTGTGTGAGCTATTTTGACAAGTTCGCAATTAACGATCAAATGGCAAATGAAATGGCAACACCTTCAGCTTGTTTGTAAAGTAGCATAAAGTTGACTTCAGATATAGCGGTCATCGATTTCGCGTGCTCTCGTTGAGCCTCAAACGCATATTTATATAATAATGCAAACGAATAAATATAGAATTTCGTTTACGACAAAATAAGAGCAAGAGAACTTGGTGATCAATATCAACTCTTATTGTGTTGATAAATTGAATAAAGGGAAAAAGATGATTTAAACGTACACAAACTGTTTGAAACGATAATTCATAGTAGTTTTTAAACAAAAGATAAGCATACCACAATTGGCATTTATTAAAGGTTTTCTTGTTTTCCATTTCCCACTACACTTTTCATCACAACAATGAACACCACAAATACCAGTATCAAAAAAAGGTAGCAACGCCCACACAACCAACAATCGTAGCGTATCGAGTCAGGCTGAGTCTGCTACCCCGAACTATAATTTCTCTTAGTATAGTCTTTCAGTTCTCTCGGCAATAATTTGACATGAACAACCGAAAGAAGACCACCACGAGATCGAAATGAATCAAGACGAGAACTGAAACAGTTGTTGAAATTTAAAAAAAAACTTTTGATTTGATTGATTTTTGTTACTTTTATTAGCATCCTTCGCATTGAACCGCTGTAAATCAATGCGTAAATAAATCACGTGCCTCAGATTGTTCTACTCTGTGGTTTTCCGTGTGTTTCCGATCTGTGTGACCGCATTACAGGTGCTAACGAGATTACCATTCACCGTCGTTGACTCCAGATCGTGCAGAACGGGAAGTGAAACTCGGATTGACTCGATAGTAAACCGAGTCAAATATCTCACATATCTGAAAATCCTGCCAGAATGCACTCCCCCAGACACACTGGACTCCAGAACACTGAGGACAGTGTTCTTTCGTGGGGAAAGGTAGCGTGACGACCTTGGAATCTTACCATTCCGTTTGAGTGTAAGTCGTGTTCGTATCTCACTGGACCACCTGGTTCATAGTGTCTGCGTCTTCCTCTCTCTCAGATTGTCAATCAACTCCCTCTCCAAGGAGAACATCTTGTTTGTTGACGGTTCAAGCCCACGCCTAGACTCGGCCCATTTGCGGTTGTCTGGTGTATCCCTTCGGGGGGACATCCTGCCGCGAACACAAACCAAGCATCTTACAGATAAAACCAACACAATAGCGACACATCATTATTATTGTTGTTGTCTTTGTCGCTTTTTCGTTTGCGTCTACTAACTTGGTTGATTGTGCTAGATCGGAAAGGTGTTTCTTTATTCACACCACTAGGACCTATCAGCTATCCGTGGTTTGCATTAAACAGTGCAAGCATGAATCTGCCAATGCTGAAAGAATAGATAGACTACTAATGAGTAGGTAGTATATAAATCATATTTATCGGTTATGCTTCAATTCATCCACTGCTACTGGTTAAGCATAATTGGTATGCACAAACACTTAAATGATTTGTAGAGGGAAATCATAATAGAAATGTGGCATTATTTACGTTCCGTATGATTTCATTGTAGTCCAAATGGTCCCTACTGCGAACCAGCACAGTGTTTATGCGAGAGGACATGTGGGAGAGCCACAATGATGAAAGTAGTTTTGTTGAAACAGACGGAGAGCCCGGCATTCAACCTCAACCGCTTCGGACCGTTTTGAATTGTTGAAAAACACAGGAGACGATAAAAGCAAAATCAGATGACCCACCGTATGCTTGTTTATATAAAATAGAGACGGAAAGGGATTTAGTCCTGAAAGTATGGAAAATCTGTTGCATCAAGTGGTTTACAGATTTCGAAAAAGACGGAAAATCCTGAGAGGTATTGCAAACGTACAAGTTGCTGACCCTTGTACCTCTCATGGTTTGGTTGGGGCGGGGGGAGCACGAATTGACGTCATCATCACGTGACAGGGATTAGGTCAAGGTTCACTTTCCGAGTCAGATAGAAGCTGGAGCAGATCAACCGATGCGGACTACTCCGCTCAATGCACAATATAGTTATTTTCTTTGTTAGCTGATATATTCGATATTGGCACTTCATCCTTTTTGCACGCACTCTTGTCATGTATTTATATTGTTATCTTCAACCGGTTACAATTTGTAGCCACCCGGAAGTCGGTTTTATTTCATATTAAACTTAGCACGTTGCGCTTGACCAGACTGAACAAATTTTCCCCGAACGTGCATGCAAATGTATGAAGATGAAAACGAAGTTAGGAAAAATCAGAAAATAATATTCACGTGCACGTTCTATTCGTTGAATAAATTGGCTTCTTTCTCCTAATGCATCGCATCATCCTTCGAATAGGAGAGTCTTCCAGAGCAAAATAGTTTCATATCGTTCTATCAGTGAAACTTGCTAATCTACGATCCGGATTAGAGGAACATCGTAATCTGGGTATTGATTGTTGTGACCATGTACGGGAAATCAAAATATTTGATAACCACCAGTCCGGACTGACATGTCAAATCATTCGTATTGTTGAGAAAACGTTTCTTTCATTCGACAATCCAATATCAAACTTAACGCCCATGTATAACTCGATCAGTTCCGTCCTCATCAAGTTAGATCAGTTGATTTGCATTGCAATGCCCCATTTGTGATCGACTCGAATTGGCGCACGCTCCAGCCAACCATTTAGGTCTCTTGGCCCATCATGTGAGTGCTTGTGTGCGTGTGCTTTGTTTGGGGACTGGAGCCTGGATTTGGTCGCGATTTGTTTGCACCCGATACGTGTGTTTGTTTGTACACACACACAAACATGGGTTGGCATAGCAACATTTGCTTTTCTCCAGGGTGACCATGCATACCCACACCACTGAAAAGGCACCCTTGTCTCATTTAAGATTACGTTCACGGAGTTGGTAGGTGAACCTTGGAGTTTACTTTTCACTGTTTTTCAACGATTTACTTTTCGATCGCTTTCTACTGTTTATTGTTGAACTCCTCAAGTTAACTCCGTAATTTTTATTATTTGTTTAACTGCATAAATATGCATTGAAATATGTCGGGAATATAGTTGTTAATGTTGGCCTACTAAACTTTGTGTGTATTTGTCTCCACTAAGGATCATTCGGTTACCGATTATACATTTGTTTCAGGCATTGTTGCTCTTTATTTTAACTTGAATTGTGTTGCAAATCTGATGAAATTTGATCACACTCGGTCAAAATTGATTCACCACGTCGTAACAGCTAAAAGCTTACAGAGTCAATAATAACCGAAACACGTTCATGTGAATATGTGGGTTACAAGCGTGTTTAATTCCTCTCGTTCGGTTTTTTTGAACAATTTAAAGACAGAGTGTCATTCGCGAAGGATTTTGAACTCAGCATCCGTGAATAGGGAATTGTGTTTTTGGCGTTTCATTTTGATTTCCTAATTCGAAGAGATGGGAGCGTTCCGGTTTTGAAATACACCGCACTGCTTTAATACGCTCGCGTTAAGCGAAATTCGTTCAATGTTTTCTCGCGATCCAATAGATTATATGCGGTTTCTTGTTGACGATTTAAAACGTTCTCCAAAGCTTTAAGAATTGTTTGTCTCATTGACTTCTTTATCGGTTTCTCACCTTTAAAGGTCTAAACGTTTCCGATATGCTCACTAGGCCTAAATAACCTTGACAGATCAGACAAAGTCCAGAAAGGCTTTGAACATGCGTGTTTGGGTTGATTTTCAGCCCCGCTGATCGATAACATGCGGAGTCACCTGCTTTGGCTTTATTGGATGTCGAGTGAATGCAGTTGTTGATTGACAATTTCGGAATGAAATGACTTTCTGTTAGATGTAAACTTGTCTACAAGAATATATGAATGTAAATGAGCATATGTCCCTATGTTATCTTTTATTTATTGTTGAATTTCAAATCGTGAATAATTATATTTTACTATTACATGTCTGAATAGTAATCGTTCAATACTTCAATACTCGAGGTGCTCGTATCTTAAACAATTATGAAAAAACAACGTACCGATTCTGTTCATCCGTGTATTGTATGCAAATTTTACCCGTAGAATACAAACATCAAAACCTTCAGGCTAACGTTGGTGCCACGGACTAAGTAATCAGTTTGCGACAAAGTCTTCATCATACTTAATTTCCATAGTATTTCTGGTTTAGTCCTAAAATTTGTTTTACTTTGCTTCACCTGTTGAAAAGAACATCCGGTGAATAGTTCTGGGCTGTGAATTAGAAGCATTGTCTATCAAAAATCGATACCCATTGATGTAACGCACACAATTTGAAGACGGTATTGAAACAGTTTTTCAACCTCCAGTACTCCTTGATCCGTGCGTTTTCCTCATTTCCTGTGCTCACCATGCAAGCAATATGATGTTGTGGATTTTTGGACCCTAGAACATACAACGAAAACCCAGAGACACAATGAGCATTCCCCAGGCACAGGAAGTACCGAGTCCGACGAAGGTACAAGACACCGGCCGTCTTCGACGTCTTTCCGTGGCGCAAGGAGTTCGAAGATTGTCCATTTTCAAACCTACGAGTAAGGTTCCACTTGCAACTGTGCAATTTCGTTTCATTACCATAAACCGGTACCTCGATTTTTTGATGGTAAATGATACTGCATTTCATCTGCTAACCACGCGAACAATCATTTCCAAAATCAAAGATCGATATGCATTTTTCGATTCTTTTCCTTTCATTACTTCTGTTCATAATTGCAATTGTGAATAGATTGAATCCGCTGTATGTGTCCAGACACAAGCAACATTCGTAGTGGAAGCGAATCAAACTATTACACCTGAAAGCAACCGTTGAGAGCAAATCGATGCGGCATTATCTTTCCAGTAGGATACGCATGATGATGAACTGAAACCCACCGGTCAGTATCGTTGAAAGAACAAAATCAAACGTTAAACGCTTCTCGACCCAGTGGAAAGTGAACAATGCGCCCTGTATCGAAGACTGTCATATAGCATTAGCAACCGGTTTTCCAAACCATACTCTAAAATCAGTTGATATTCACTCCACCAAATTAGCTGCTATTGAAAAAAGGAATTTAACTACTTCTGGTACATGCTTGTTAATTTACCCCAGTAGAACTTATCGTATTGTTCTTCGCACATCCATGCATCCCGTTCTCTTGATCTGATATAAAATGCAGATAGGTGTTGTGAGGCGCACTCAAACTTGTGATTAGCGTTTAAAGTGTTGGTTTCTCACATCGGTGAAAAATGACCAAAACGTCCGGCAGCGAATAAGTTTATTCAAAATTGTAACTACACTAAATGCACATCTACCCTGCGTGCTTATCGAAATTGTGATTGAACTATTTCACATGTGGCGCTCCCGCCAGTGTAACCCACCCACTTCCTCATAGCGTTAGTTGGAAAAGACAGTTTTTCCTTGCCTTCTGGACGTATTACCCTTCATGAGCGTCAATTTCGCCTCAAAGATGAGTGATCTAAAAATTAAAGATTCTGCATTCTAGCTCCGTCACAGGCATTCCGCGTTGGTGTCGCCTTGTTGGAAGTCAAAGGTTGTATTTGCAAGCAGTAAGGCACTCTTAACTGAACCGTCACTTGTCCTGAGGCTCATACACAGATGACTGGAACTGATGAACAACACTGATGTTGGTGACTTCCCGAGTTGAAAGTTTTGTCTGGAAACGTTTCGTTTCCCCGAAGTCGCACTGATAATGTTACCTAGCGTGGCTACGAAACGTCTGCAAACAACAATTCCAACTTGGAGACCTCACCAACATCCGCATCTCGAGCTACAATCATTCCATAGCATTTCCAACTGATGAAGAACGTCACATATGAAGTGAGGAAAGGATAGGATCAGAGTATTTAAAAACAGTTATTGCCACTATTCTGGGCAAAGTATTTATCTGTGGTTTACTATAAGAAAGTTATTGTGAAAGTTCAATGTTCGGGAATACATAAAATTAGGTTTTTGTTTATCGCACCCAACGCGGATGGACAGGAACATTTTTGTGTCCCAGTGAACAAACATTTGTGGTAGCTTTTCTTTGCACCCCTAGCAATGCGATTATATGAAGAGAACTGTAAATTGTGCTACATTTTTGATAACTATAAGGATCAGGGATTTCGCACCTTTATTGGAAATATTCCGCCCCAGTGAAAACAACTTAGGAGAGAGAGAAAGGCAATTTTCAGCTCCACGCCTAATGTACAACAGCAAGTTATTTGAGTATCACAGATAAACTGAGAAGATAAGTGTCACTACTACTTCATAGAGGAGGAATGCAGGAGTTAGCAAATCTGATGATGAAAAATTACAAAATCAGCTGAGGACATTTCACGTTGTATACAAATTTATTTTTAATAAATGGAAATGCCCATTTGTTTTCAAATCTAACCTTGAACTAAATTTTAACTAGCACTAATACATCTGGTTTCGGATTATTGGAAATACCGTAGAGATTGATGCTCAATCCGGTGTGCAACCCACCACTTTGTCCCCTACTGTGGAAACGGCCACCACCGAACGTTCTTCGTTTCGCGATAACGCTACTCCACTGGTGGAATCCAGTCGAGCCTTGTCGTTTCGTGACTGGATGGGTACCACACCAAATCGAAGACTGAGTCAGGTCACTCCCGCTTTGGCTCCACCGCCCATATCGATCCTGGGCATATTGGCCGCGAAACGTGTATCCCGACGATTTTTGGCCGCGATCACAGGGACCTGTGACGCACGGGAGTTTATGACAATGCGTAAGATCTGTGAGTTTGACAACTGCCGCGACAAATGCTTGTTGTCTGTGTTACAAATGATAAACATGCCCGCGTTGGACTGACATGTTTTTGATTTCTTCAGATACACTGATAATCTTGCAGCGTTCCTCTCCTGAGATCATCCTCACTTGCTTTGATGTGTATCAGACATTTTTAAATGGTACTTTTTTCGATTTTCTGATTCCCAATACTCAGTTGCTCTGTTTGTGGATAATGATCTGTTATCAGATGTTCCGTTGGTTTTGTGTATAGCTAGGTGTATTCGGAAAACCAAACGTGATAGCAAAGGACGCATTGACTGGCGAGTTACATTCCTGCACTCCTGCAAGCATTTAAGATAATCTGGCAACATACGATAGGTAAACCGGAATGTTTTCTGATCATGAAAAAATTGCTCAGTTTTCGAAATCAACTACCCCTGTGATTCTATCCTTATTGGCCATCTGGAAACACGCTACTCTTCTAGTTTTATGATTCATATATAGTGAAATATTCGTGTTTTCTAAGAAACAATTCGATGCGCTTGACAATCCTTTAACTGTAGGTCTATCTAAACCCAGAACTGGTCATCTAGAACAAATAATGCATAGTGAGTTGTGCGAACGCATTTTGCTCCTAAACAACATCACAAGTGCCAGTGCCCGGTGATCAACAGTCACCGCATAAAATTCTAGCAACTCTGTCGCTGTGTTCATTCATGTGTATCGGTCCATCCCGGGTGTAATGATATGAGTGACCACGGAGTAGACAAGCTTTGCATAAAACAGTGTGAACCGGATTAGCACTAACAAAACAAAACAATTATCTCCCGAAAGAAGTGTGAACAAAGTACACAATACTGCAAAGAAGCACGATTTCATTTCCCGAATCATTTAGCTGTATCTCAACTGGTGCCTACTAGAGAATACAAATCAGTTTATATATCACAATTGGCGATAATCTAACATGGCATTAATTCACTCTTTCGCTTAGGAGAGGGTTACCAGGGCAATGCCCGACTGATATATAGACCTCTCTTTGCTGACAAAGCAGGGCCTTCCGGAGCTTGATTGTGACGACCTCTGCAAAACCCAGCTGCCGTTCATTTGAGGTTGTGTAAACAACCCGAAAAGAAGTCCCGCGGTCGGTTTGGTGACCAGTCTACAGCAGATGGCGAGCAATTAATGATGCAGGTGTTCTTTGTGGCTGACTTGGTGGGTTACTTGTTTGTGAAGCCCTCAATCTGATCCGTTCGCGTTCGACCCATGCTAGTATAGGTTCTTACAATGGGGTGCACAGCTAACTCTCTGTTCTGTTCACGTAAGTGGCTCCGAACCCACATTGAATTTCATAGATAACGTGTGGTTTGGTGGACAGAGGGAGTGATGATTTCACCAAGGGCTTCGGAATCTGGGTTCAGAAAACGACCAGTGGAAACTTTAGTGGTATGATATAACCAATGACCCATGGGAAACTCAGTTCATCCAGCACAAAACACCTGGTCGGAATGAAGCATTGCGTCATACTTCAAGACGCTTTTATAATCTTCCACAACAACAATATATCGAGGCACTAGCTATTCAAAATTTCCATCCCCAAATGCATAAAAAAGTGAGTAGCTTATCACTCTAGCAAATGTGTTTTTTGATTGGTTTTGATCACAGTCAGTTTTGGTCTATGATTCTGTAATTGTTGACAGTATGTCAATGATCACATCAACTGCACAATGCAAACGTACATCTGCAGTGAAGTGATTCAGAATTTTTTTTTGCAAACCTGCTTCAGCTTTTGTTTTCCAAGGCGTTCACGGGTACCGGTGCTTCCAACAATAGAAGGATTACAAACCGCTGATCAGACTCTCTCTCGTTTTAGGTACAAAATAATAAAGTAACCATTTAAGTAAATGTCTCAGAAAGGCAAAAAATTGAGGTCCGCAAAGCGAATAAGCATCCAGTAACTGAATGTAAAGATCAAATAATTAGATTGTACATGGTAGGTAGATGATCAAAACCGAACATTGTGTCAGAATGAGTGAAGCGATCAGGCCCATCTACCTGATCACCGGGGTGAGATCAAAACTTTTATCGCTGTGTACTCAATAAAAGGAAGAAAGGGTCAAACATTGCTTATTGTCAACAGCCGAAGCAATCGCGATTCGGTTGAACAACCCCACATCCCGTTCTAAGTTTAAAACAGTCAATCAGAGCTCTGAATTTACCATGGTCAGCCATAAACGCTAGAGTGACATAAGACCGGTTATCAAATGAGTGTCAAATCGTTTGTATGTTTGATTTATTCGACAATATAAATGACATTTCCAGAATGATTTGAACTCTTATACACTCCTTACTGCATTATTCATGGTATCCATACATACATATACAATCACACACACATTATGTGAGTTTCTTCTCTTTCCTTGAATTATGTGATTTTGTGGCCTTTGAAAGAATGCTGCATTTGGCTAGTAAATGATACAGCGAAAACGTGGTTGTTTCCCTAATTGACTTATTGATGCAGTCCACGGGTATTTTCCAGTAACTCGATGAGTAAGCAATAGGTTGATGAGCAAGCTAACAACATCTCGCATATAAGTAATTTCTTTTGAAAGAAACTAAACAGGATCTTCAAGGATGAATAATCAATCAAATGCAATGGCAGCTGATCAATTCAAAATCACTAGCCCCGTTTCATAAACTCAAAACAACCCTGGGAACACTAATAATTCACTGAACCCAGTATTTTCGTCCCTTCAATGCACGCTTCAAAAGCCACACTCAGTTCAGCGTCCTTCATGGCACCACCAAAACCGCCAACCTATCAGTTGGGGCCAGTGGAACCATTCAATCCATATGTGATCCAAAGCCGTATTGAAAGACTGTTGCACTTGCGTGCCAATACTCTACCACCAGATTATCGACCGGAGCGAGCTGCCAGTCTGTGTAAAGAAATTGCGAACGAGGTGAAATTTATCATGCGCACAGCCGGATCAGAAAGGTGAGTTGTGTCTTGCGACCGAAATTGTTGTAGCCGTGCATGGAGAAGAGAAACACGCAGTTAGATGTTTGTCATAAGCAATCTGGAGCCCGATAAAAAAGAATATCACACGAATAGCCAGATTTGTGATACATAACTGAATACGAACCTTTTTGTGAATGATGTGCCTGTCTGTTCACATTTATATAGAAATATCTTTTAAGTATTTAAGGAAATATGCACGGATCTTTGTACTGACCTGACTCTTTGTCTCGTATATTTAAAACTGGTTGTTTTTAGTCTTCTCATGATAATCAAATGCTCTACATTCCTAAACATTGTTGAAGCAGTATGGTAAACATGATTAGGGGATGTATGCATTCGTTGCTTCATTTTTAACGCATGTATGCCTGGTGGTGGTGGTGGCGGCGGCGGCGGCGGTAAGACTCCTACGAAGTGATAATTCATTGACACTGAACACTCGGCTACCACCACACTATTCACCGGCGAAAAATGATATACAACATCG